GCTCCTGGCACGAGGCGCAGATCCCCTATCAAAGACCCACGATGGAAATGCCCTTACGTCATCCCTTTATGAAGACATGAACTGCTTCAGTCATGCTGCCGCACATGGACACAGGTATGCTGTCCCTCAGTCTGACCTGAAAACAGCATGGTGCCAACAGACACTGCAAACATGCTTTTGGCCTCTTAACCGCGGAGAAGAAAGTAACACAGAAATAAAGCTAACTATGTCAGCACAGTATCATCGTTGACCTGAGTCTGCATTTGAGCTTCGAGGACAGATTCATCCCTTTTATCATGCAGAGAAAGTATCAGAGTATAAAAAGTAAACTCAGGGTCTCCTTCTATTCAGAGTCCCATCTGTCTCTGAACACCAACTGAAAGCATAAACCTCTCCACCTGTTCACTGTGTATATGTGTGAACACATTGCAGACTCAACACTTCACATTCCACAGTGAGGGTGACAGATTATGTAATCAGAGAGGAGGGTACAGGGTCACAGAAAGGGATGTATATGTTTCAGTTTGGACACGTACTAATGTTTTCATGCTTTCTTTCTTTCCTTCCTTCTGTGTCCTCTTTTCCCCTCTTTCTTCCGTCCATTTATCTTGTCAGGAACGTGCTGAGAAAGCTACTGACTCAGCCCCAGCAAGTCAAGGAGGATGTCCTGTCTCTGGAGGAGATCTTAGCTGAGGGGGTGGAGGGTGAGGAGGCTGGGATCTGCCCTTTTCTCCCCCTCTCCCCCCTCCCCACCTCGTCCTCTGGCCCTGGAGCCCTGCCAGAGGTTGGCATACCAAGGCTTTGCAAGGCCAAGATGAAGGCTCTCCAAGAGGCCAGCTACTACAGTGCTGAGCACGGCTACCTAGATGTCACCATGGAGCTACGAGCCATGGGTAACTATCAGCTGTTAAGAAGAAGATTTGCTTACATTTCAAATTTTGCTTACTTTGAATACAAACATTTATTTTCTGTTGACCAAGGTGTACCATGGAAACTACATGTGTGGCTGGAGTCTCTGCGTTGTGCCCAGCAGCAGTCCAGAGCAGGAGTCACCCTCTCGCTCCTCAGAGAGTTCACCACGATCAGAGAAGAGGACTACTGCGAGGAGTTGGTCGCCATAGGCCTGCCCCTGATGTTCAATATCTTACGTACCACCAAGGTACCACCAAACACAAACTTCAACGCGTCCGCTCGTCTTCCTCTTCATGTTACCAGCAAGAAATGAGTTTAGATGTGTGGTATAATGCCCTCCTCCCTGTTATTTTCATTCTTCTTCAGAATGATGCCATTATACAGCAGTTGGCGGCTATTTTTAGTCACTGTTTCGGCCCAGCCCCTCTTCCAGCTGTCCCAGAGATGAAGGCAACTCTTTCAGCACAGTTGGGTAAGCAAACTATGATTCTTACGTGTATATGAACGCATATAGCTCAGTGTTCAGAGTGGATGGCTGTGATGGCTTAATATTTTTAGTAAGGCTGTATGAAGTGCAAATTAATATTTTTCCATTTAGGGGAACTAATAGTTTTCTAGAGATACAATAACATGTGAGTAAAAAGGCAAACTCTTATCACAAATGGTTAGCTTGAGACACTTTTTATGTCCATACTGATACCAGGTGTAAGGATCTAAACACAGTCAGCTGCATACAAAACACTGTCTGAACAAAGCTTTAGCTTCCTTATTTATGTGCTGGTATGGTGTTGGACCAGAGGTCAGACTTGCTTCCTTGCCACTTAAGAGCTGTTTTGAGAATGGAGTTGTAAGGAGGTGCTGATGTGTTTTCCTGCAGACCCCCATTTCCTGAATAACCAGGAGATGTCAGATGTGACGTTTGTGGTGGAGGGGAAACCGTTCTATGGCCACAGAGTCCTGCTAATCACAGCTTCTGACAGGTGCATGCAGACAGGTTCAAATGGCAAAGAAAGATACGTTAAACTACTTTTTAAAAGATATTTTCTAAACGGTTTTGACAAAGATATTTGTTTTCTTTTAGATTAAAATCTATGCTGGCATCCTCTGGACCAGATGGAAGCCCCAACAAGGAAATTGAGATTAGTGATGTCAAGTACAACATTTTCCAGGTAACAAATACACAGTTTGTTTCCTGATATTAAAAGAAACTCCCCTAAGTAGTAAAACTAAAGACAGATGTATTGCATATGACTAAACACATATTTAGTTCAACTACTCTACTAACTTGTTACTAAATAAGACCTTTGACCTCTCTGCAGATGATGATGTCATACCTGTACTGTGGAGGAACAGAGTCACTGAAAACTAACGTGCTTGATTTGCTGGAGGTGAGAATCACTAAATAGATACACTCCATCAGTCTGGGTAGTTGTGTGAAAGATTTTACTTCTTAGAAATCCCAAGGTTTATTAGTTACACATGTTCACAGTATAAAATCACTTAAAACTGTTGACAATGTGGAGAGTGTACTTGCTTCAACAATACAATAAAAGTGCATGTTTTGGGTACAAATCTAATGAATAAGCATGGGGAAAGTATCACACGTTACACACAACAAACAACAGCAACTTCCTGCCCAGCAATGTCTCTCCACGTGTGACGTATACAGTGTTTATTTTTTCTGCAATGTACAATTCACAGTGAGACCTCATGAGTTTTCAGTTAAATTCAGTATATGTACTGTGTTTAAATGGTTTAAAACAAATGTTTGTGATTACACAAATCCCCAGTTAAATGTTTTTTAAACTAAAAACTAAGGTAAAATACCACCATTACAATCCATTAAAATGGTCTATTGCATTGTTAAAGTGCTTCCATGAACAGCAGCACTATTTAGGTCAAAGTGAATAAAAGCAGTAAAATGCCTTAAATTTCAGATATGTGTTTTAGATAATTTGGTTATACTGGACACTTTTCTGTCAGTTTTAATGTGTCTCTATCTGAAAAATTAAGCTAGTTGGCAAAATAATCACAACTAACAAAGAATGACAGGCAGCACTAACAAAATTGGCTGTCTTTGAATGATATATAAGATACTATTTCTCCAGCATCATTTGATGTGTGTCGATGACATTTGCTCGTGTTTTCTCCTTCAGCTGTTGTCAGCTGCAAGTCTGTTCCAGCTGGGGGTGCTACAAAGACACTGTGAACTCATCTGCTCCCAGCACATCAACCTGGATACAGCAGTCAGCATCTATAAGACAGCCAAGGTAACACACATACTGAGATGCCTGGATCATATTATACTGTTATGTGAACTATGCAAGTAAGAATAGCAAGCTGGATTATACAGCAGGGCTGGATTCCTCAGTAAATAAGGTGACTGAAAGAAATGTTTTATATTAAAATGGAAAAAACATTTCCTGTTTCTAATCCCACACATCAGCTAGGAAATACAATTAACTGCACAAAATGCAATGATAAATGGCCTACATTCTACACTGAAATGCAGTTTTCTTGGTACTTCACATTTATGCTTATGCTTTTTTCCTCTTTTCCCAGGTCCATGGTTCAGTGGAGCTGACTTCATTCTGTGAAGGTTACTTCTTGCAGCAGATGCCTGCTCTACTGGAGAGAGACAGCTTCAGGAGCCTGCTGTTGGGACCCACCGGGGCCCGACAAGGGAACAACTCCACTTCTACGTTGGTTCACAGTCGGGGAGACTCACCTCTGGAGGAGCTGGAGGCCACCCTGGCTCAACGACTCCGCTCTCTCTATGTTACCTCCAGAGTCTGAGGGCACCCAGACAGCTGCTGAGGAGAGAGGACAGAAATTAGTGGAAGGCAGTTGGAGACATAAGTTTAATTTTATCACTGATGCAGGATCAGAGCTTAAGAAGGTATTCAAATGGTTTGAGTACAGATGTTTTCTTAGTAACATCTGATCCTATCCTAACTTCCACAGTGCCTTGACACTGGGACACACATCAGTGAATTATTTGGCAGCAGACACAGATTTTCACTTTGTGGACAATTCAGTGTTTCATACTTTGTGCAAAGCACTCCATCTTGACATTTATTGCAGCGTACAGCTTGTTTATGAAGAAGAAAATTAGACAATGTGATGCTTATCCTCCAAGGCTCGGGAAGCTTAAATGGAGAAGCCGCAGATGGATGCAACAGGTGGGATCTCTGAAATATGAAACACTGCTGCCCTCTAATGGACAAAACTGGCAAAATAATAAATTGCCATGGAGGATTGGGATCAAGACACCCTCCTGGTTCTGACTGAAGCAATATAAAGTGACAGACTGAAGCATCCATTAAAGAATCAAGTGAGGCAGCCATGCTGGAATTTTGGCTTTGTCCCGTTCAAACTAATAATGCAGAGTGGGAGAAAGGAGGCAGACCCGGTGCCTCCAGCCTTGATGTAAGATTTGGATTAACAAATGTACTTTTTATCTAACTATATGTTTTTATTTTCTATTTTTAAAAATTATTATCAGAGAAACAAAACACTTACTGAAGAGTGGGATGGACATTTTCTATTTAATGAGGAAAAAAAAGATGTGAGAGTATTTAATGGGGTGTTCCCTTTTTATTTTGTTTTTTAATCCAAGCAAATTATTATTATTATTGTTTAAAAGTTGCTTGTGTAGCTGTCGTTTTTCCAGGTACACACTAACAGTTAATTAAGCTTATGTATGCTGAGGTTTAATGCTTCTACACAGGTACAACAGCAGAATCCAACATGGGATTTAGAATACTTAATGTCTGTTTTAATGCTGAATATTGTAATAAACCTGGTAAAGCGAGCGTAGTCATTTTTACTGGTTCAAACCATTTCCAAAGATTTAATTGCTGTCTGTTTGTGTGGGTTTGTATAGACTTACCTGAAATCCAGGACACTCAGATTTGCAAATGCACAACTCTACAACATGAAAGTATGCTGAGAAAGTGGAGTAAGAAAATTAAAATTATTATACTGGGATGCAAGATGATAATTAATCTTAACTTTGCAGCACTTAATTTAATAAATGGCAGGCATGACACCCATACATGTACAGGCACAAAGAAGAAAAACAAACACACCATAACTTAATGAGTTTATTTGTTTCTGCACTGAAGATGCTCACAGTTATTTCATATGGGGATTACATCAGTCCTGCTCTGTCAAAAGACCGCTCTGGGCCTCAGAATCATTGGATGTCCTTGGTGCTGCTTGCTTCCCATTGTAGAAAACAGAAAGAAGGATGAACAATAGGGTATTGCTTTGTGTTTGTGTACTGATATCCCCTCACTGTGCCTCTTCCACCAACAGGTAGAGAGAGCCCAGACCTCCGAGCCTTCCAGAGAGAGGTACAGAGTAAAGGAAGCATCGTTCAAAAACTTTGTGCACAAGATAAGAGGAGTAGGAAGGGAAATATCAGCGGGAACAAAAACAAAAAGGCCAGAGATAAAAGCAGAGAGGGTGAAAAGTCAAGGTAGTTTTGTGTAGAGAGAATCGATGAAGGCTGAGAGAAGGAGTGAGTTTGGCATGGAACATGAACACTAAAGCCATGCAAAGAAAAGCTCATGTTTGACATGCACACAGCAATACAAGCTAAAAGCATAGAGCAGGAATCCCCAGCTTGGTTGAGAAGACAATCAACCCCCACGGTTTGTCTGTCTATTTACAAAGAGAAGTAGACTGGGGTCTGTGGTGTCCTTCTCTTCAGGCCTGGCCTACAAGCACAATATTATGAAACTGACAAATATCAATAGAAGAGCATATTCCCTCTCCAAAAAGAGGCTAAGTCTACATTCTTAAATTACTGGTAAATCAAATTTTCAAAGAGTTCCCACAAGTTCTCTTTCTCCCTCAGAGAAGTGAGAGAAAAGAGAATTTGCGACTTGTCAATGTTCACATAATTCTGTTAAATTCAGACCAAAAGAAAAGAAAATGTTTTTTTTCTTCAAATGTTGCCCCATTTACGAACACACAAGAGGGTAATAAATAACATTCAACTGACCTAACAGCTTTGTTCATATAAATAGCCAAGTTATAATAAATTAGGAAATCAAACAGTGAGATGAACAAACATTAATAAATAAGGACAAAAATACAAAAATATCCACAATTGCATTTATCACGTCATCATTTTTTGTTCCTCTACTCCTACTGCTGGTAAGTGAGACTAAGAGAGAGGTATAAATGGAAAGCCAAAGACAAAGTGCTGCAGATAACACAAACAGGAATGTTTGGATCATTATTAGGTCAATCAAACAAAGACATAAATGATCAAGTAACAAAAATACACAGAAGAATTTAAAACAGTATGTAGCAGGCCCAGGTTTACCAACCTGACCCTATGGTATCTAAACATAGTGTCACAACTAGACATTTCTTTTTTTTTTTTACATAAGAAATCAAATCAGTCTGTACAACAGATCATTCATTTTAAATACCCACATACCCACCCGCGTCCCTCCCCCAACCTTCTCCCCCACTGCCACCCTGCCCTGTTCTGCTCACACCCCACTCCTCTCTGAAATCACTATTCCAGTCCATTTGCAGCAATAGTATCAAGTCTAATAAAGTCTGTTAGTGTTTTAAACCCAGTTCTTCACAAAGAAAGTACATTAAAAAGCAAACAAATACAATCCAGCAAGCGTCCACGTCGGCTATTTGGGCTTTCCACAAAACTCCTCCACCTTCTCTCCTCCTCTGAATCAGTCAGTGTTTCTGCATGTCTTCTTTTTGTTGTTGTTGTTGTTGTTGTTGTTGTTCATGTTCTTGTTAATACATCCCAGAGTTTTCTTCGCATACTGGACCTGTGCGTGTATATGTTTTGTGTATGCGGTGTCTTTTTGTAAAACGCTCGTTTCCAATTGATGAATGCTCCTTGAGCTCGAAGAAAGAAAAGGGGCCAGTTGGTGAGGGCAGTGTGCATTCTTGTTTCAATGGGATTTGTTTGGATTAGTTGTGCACGTGTGTGTTTTTGTGTTTCTAAGATGGAAAACGCTAAAGGTATTTTTCATTTACTTCTACTGATGGCTGCCAGAGGTGAAGAAGGGTCACACAGGGAGATGAAGGTAGAAGTCTGCATGAAGGGTCTGTTCCCATGGTAACCACCCCACCCCCATCCCCTCTCTCAGCGCACCTCTAAAAGCAGTCCTCCGTCAACAAATGTCCGTCTCTCTCGGCACGCTCGGGGGTGGGGGCCGGGTGGTCGAGGGAGGGCGAACGGAGCAGGGAGCAGGAGGAGGGACTTAATAGGTTTTCTGGATAATTCCTGGTATCAGAAACAAGTCAGGTCATCACACAGGTTAACAGCAAAGGGAGCAAAAAACAGAGCAAGGGCCACAAGCGATTAGATGGTTGGGGTAGAGGGGTGGCTTATGATGGTGAACACTGAGGGGTTATGAAAAGGGGAATGGAAGGACAGAAGTGTGTAGGTGCAATATGCATTTTTGTAAAATATCATTTTGATTCTCTCAATCTATTTCTATCTATATAAAGTCATTTTATACAAAACATGTCCATAATTTATTATATACATCTAACTATGTACAGAGAGAATATTCTCTGTGCAACTGGCTTATAGTGATACTGGGATAGGTTTTAGCACTGGCTTGACTACACAGCGTCTCAGCCTAAGACTCCTCCTGAGTCCCCACAGACGCCAGCGACAACTTGGCTCTGTCTCGGCCCGCAGCGGGGCATTTGGTGTCATTATTTTCTGGCTCGTGCCTCCGGACGTGCATGGGCGAGGGGCAGCGCTTGGATGGTGTGCCAGTAGGGTACGGCACCTGTCCGTTCTTCTCGTCTGAAAAAAGTTGTTTTATTACGTCAAAGAAGTTACTCAATGGGCTGCCTAGGTACACAGACGGGAAGAAAAAAAGAGGACAAAAAAGGGGAAAGAGAGAAGAAAGAGAACAAACAAGCTAATGAACAATGGGGTTCACAGGATAGAGACGGGGCTACAGGTAAGACAGAGCAAGCAGAGGCGAGGAGGAGGAGGACTGACAGACACAGTGAGGATGAAAACTGCTGGAGCAGCCATGTCGAGTCTGAGCGCCCGTAAACCATGCACATGTCGCAGCACAACCAATGAAAAAACACACAAGTAGCCATTCAATCTAAAACTACAAATTAAAGCAACTTGTGGGGCTGACTGGTAGCAGCTTCTAAAGACTGATACTAGAGAACATCTTTCTTTAACATTTAAACCGTGTGATGCAGAAAGAATAAACCGTGGTGTCATCTGTGTGATTTGGTACCCGCACAGGTCTGGTCAGCCAGAAGCAGGACAGGTGGATGGAAAGAGGACAATGAGAAAGCTTGGAGCCTCAAAACAAAGTTGCCCATGAAGGATACTAAAGGATCAGTGTCTCCTTTGCTTTTGTCAAACACTAGGAGGCTGCACCATCATTGTACCGACTCTTTGAAGTAAGAAAAGAGTCGGAGCCGAAGAAAACTCTTGTGATTTCACAACAGAGTCAAAACAATGATAAACTGCATTTAAGTCATAAATCCTGTCTTAACTTAATGCTGCGTGCTGAATAAATTGGATATGCTAAACAATGCACGTCTATTTCTCCCTAACTGCTAGAAGCACACTTACAGAAAGTGGGTGTCCGACAGTACGCATGCAAATGATCTTCCGCTAAACACACACTCTTCTTTCTGCTGGGCTTTAATGGTCCCACTGCAGGTAGGTGGAGTGGTAAGGACACCAAACATGAGAAATCAAACAAATAAAGAGGCAATGTTCTTTTTGTTAATGGTGCACACACAGTACATCTCTGGGAACTATCAGTCACACGCAGGACTATGCATACTATGCAGAAGAGCCATTTGCACAATAGAGTCCTGTGGGCCGACAAATGAACAGTGACAACATCAGTAACAACAGGCATGGGTTCTGCACAGATGACAGCACACACACACACACACAGACACAGGACTGAAGGGTGTCTTTGTACCTGTACTCAATAAAAGACTGATGGAAAGTGGAATGTATGTTGCAGTTGGTTTGTGGTAAAAAACAAAGTATATGCACATACTGCCATGAAGACTGCCTGACGTAGCCTGGAGATTAAGTAAAACTTAATTCAATCACGAATGAGTGAATGCGTATTTGTCTGTGTGTGTGGAAAGTGATTGTGCCACAGTTGGTTTCGCCAGCTCCATTATCCAGCTGGAAAATGGTTGCCGCCAACATCTCCCTTTCTTTCTCATGTGTGAAGAATTCCACATCTTGTCACTCCACCCAAATCTGCACATTTTCAGAAATAGCAGGAAACTGATGAAACTTGAGAGACTGAAATGATGCTGATTGTTAAATTAAAAAAAGACACCACCCACTAAGTGAGTAGTTCTCCTCTTTAGTCCTGTATATCCTTCAATTGTTCCACCCCTCTATTGTCTTCCTAAACTGGGCTCCCAGGTATGCTGCTGTTAATAGTGATTAGGGGACATAATAATGAAGCCTTTTGTTTGACACACATTGGTATGCAAAGCCATTTCTATTCTTAATTATAGCCATTGGCTTTTTTCAAAGGCCCTGTGGTCAGGTAGCAACAAATGTGAGTTAGGAGGTCAAAGGAAAGAGGGAGGTGAAGGAAATTAAGTTTAAAAATGCTTTCAATTAATGCCTAGGATTCATATTATAGTGTGAGATACTCTGATAGTACAAAAACATGAAATTCATTTAGACTGACCTTGGTCAAAAACAATTGGCATTGATACAAAATGCATCAGCTCTGACAATGAGTACAGAGTAGAATACTATACTTCATTATTTATTTATGTATTATCTATGGAATCTCCTCAGTATCTTATATTGCTTTAAGTGGTTCTCATATTATAAAGACTGAATTTTATTCTTACAATGTCATCTCTGCTGCCGAAACAACACACAGCAGTCGTTTAAAACAAATCTAATACAATTTATTGTAATTTCACACTCCCTATAACTCAGCCTGTTAATTAGCATCACAGTCTAAAATATCACAGGTAACTGGTACACTTACTGAGGCACAGCAATGAAAACAGACTGTTGAATATCATAAGAGATGTGATGACTGCTGTTAATTTCTGAGTGCGAGTGAGAGTAATATTGCTTTAAAAGCCACAAAGTAAAGATACAATACTTAGCTTACAGTATAGCAACACAGTGTAGTATGAAGTGATATGATGGCTAAGTATTAGTTCAATAACCTGTGTCAGACATGGAATGGGAAAGGGGTTTGAAAGGATAAAGAAAGACACAAACATACACATAACAAGAGCATGATTCAAAAGGTGGGATGAAATTAACATCCAAAGGAAACAGCACACCTCCTCCTGATAAATCTGGTGTTTTTTCAGGCTGGTGGTGTTTCTCTATCTGGCCAGCAGATGGAGCTGTTGTTAAGATGATGGCAACAAAAATGGAGCAGTGATTCACAAGGAAGAAGAAGCTAAGAACAGAAGAGGAGGAGTAGCAGTTGTCTCTTATTTTTCTTTTCATCATCCAGACTGTGTTGAGCGAATAGGATGTAGTCACACTGGGGAAGGAACAAGCTTACACATGTCCGTCGACTCTGCATCAACCCTACTACTAATGAGACGCAGAACAAGACGGAAGAACAAAGGAGGTTTTTAATAATGTCATGGAGTTCACAGGTGAACAGTTAGGTGGTGATTAAGGTTGCCCATCTGAGTTTTTACAGATGTCTATAGGTGCCTTTGGAGGTCCTATTGTGCAAGCAAATACCCAGAGAGAGAGAGAGAGAAAGAGCACTTGTCAGGTGCGATGTCGCTGTGCAGTGCATTGTGGGAGTGTGTTGAGGTGCAGTGGTGTTGCCATGGTGACAAGCTCCGACGATCAGTCTTGGAAGTAGGAGTAACAGAATGCAAATCAGCTTACCCAACCTCTATTCTAATCTTCACTGCCAGTGCAATGAGACAACATTTGACCCGGAGTCGGTGCTTGAGAGCAACTCCCACCCTTTCATGTCAGTGAGGCGCGGGCATGCAAAGGAAGCCGTTTCGAGAAGCGGAGAGTGGCTCAGGGATATCAAGCACAGGGAAGAGGAGGGAAGGATTTAGCTTAGCTTAGCTTAGCTTCAGCGATGAGAGTGGTTCGTCAGGGGGGTGGGAAGGGCGGATGAGGCAGTGGGGGTAAGGGTGAAGAGGTATTTGGAAAGATTTTGAAATATTTATTTAAAAATTAGGACTTCGTACTCACCAGACAGCTGTTGGACCCCAGGCTGGTCATGTGTGCTTAACAACTGGCTCTGAATCGTCTCCACTACTCGCTTGAAGCGCCGGCTGGGTCCTAAACACAGGCACACAAAAATATTGGCATAATCAGTTCACAATACACAGGCAGCTGTGGAAAACATGTAAATGGAAAAATTAAGAGAGGAAAAAAGGTTAGGGTGAGGAGAGGAGAAGCACACGCAAGCGCATAGTTTGAAATGTGAGCTGGAAAATCTGCAGAAAGCCTGAGATGATAAATGCAGACCAGAGGGGAGTGCTACTGTAAGCTCCTGCTGTCTACCTGTTGTATACAGTGTGTGGTCAGTGACATAGAAGACCCAGCAGGCCCCAAACAGCCAAAATCATACCCTATTCAGCTCAGATCTGCCCTCCACTTGAGTGTGTGCGTGGGTATTGTGCCAGTATGAATGTGTCTGAGAGAAAAAGAGCATGAAAGAGAGCTTGTGTTTCTGCAAGGCTAAGCATGCACACATGATTGCATAGTATGTAATCTTGCATAGCCAGACCTCATCTTGTTACGCGCAGGGAGGTTTGGAGGAGGGGGGGATCTTATCAAGCATTCAGGATTGCAAGAACTTTGAAAGTCCTTATACAGACATTTTTTTTGGCAGTGAGTTTGAAAACACCCACCTCTGGAAACAGCACTTCGGGTTTATTTGTTGGCTTGATACAAACATAGTTGAATTTTGTTAGTGTGATGGCATCCCACTTCATGAGATGCCTTTCCACACCTTTGAGTGACTTGTGACTTGACTTGAATTTCCCAAGACCTCTGTAAGCCTGCTAAGATGGAGGACTAGTAATTAAATTTTACTTATCACTGTATGTAACTCTGATCTTTTGCCTCACAATAGGAAGGTCCTACATTTCAACATGACCCTTTTTGTATGGACTGTCCACAAGAGATGTGTCTCTTAGTTGTCTGATTGACAAGAAGGGTCCAACTGTGGACCTAGTGTCTGGGGACCCCAGGTCTACAAGCCAATGGGAAGAGAGTGGGGTCTCTGGGCATGAAGCGTGTCACTTTCTTTAGGGTACCCAGAAGTGTGGTGCGCAGTTGGACCATCTTGTGATAGACTGGTGACCTGTTCCATGTGCATCGTGCTACTTGCCCAATACGTGCAGGATAAGCGGGTATAAAAAATTAATAGAGGGTTAGTAACTTGGTGCATGCCAGCAGTGTCCTAACCTGAGAGCAGGGTGAAGGTGACAGAGTAGATGCCGTTCTCCTTGGTGGCAGCTGTGCTCTCTGTGTAGGTAATATCCACCTGGAATTTGACTGGCTTCTGGAAGACTGTAGGGCCCGCTGTGGACTTGTACTCTGCTCTGAAACTTGTCTGAGAGATCACACTGTGGCTCAGGCTGGGGATCTGGGGGGGGGGGAGAGAGTCAGTAAAGGAGGCAGATATAGGAATAAAAATAGGTAGTAAAAAGAAGAAAGCAATGGGATTATACATAGGGAGAAATGATGTTTAATTTTTCCCCCACACCTTGCAAATGAAAAGGTGAATAAACCCTCATTAAAATGCCCTCCACATACTACCGAGCCACAGCTGAAACTCTAAGGAGATTAATGCCTTGGGGAGTAGCCATGCATGCCAGGGAGACTTAAGCTAATGTAATCTTGAGTCATCCAACAACATTGCACTCTTCCACCTAAAATGAATTTGTATGCCCAATGAACAGGTGAGCTCTGAAATAGTCACGTTTCACCATAGTGCCGTAGAGGGTTTGACATCCCATTAATGTGAGTGTGCTGAGAGGTATAATTCCACTGATTCAGGTGCCAATCTCCTGTCTAGAATACCAGCTAGCATAACCCAGAGGAGAAAATCGCTACCTCCAGGGATGGGGAAACAGATTTGACATTGACCTGCACTGGCAGAGTTTGCATTTACTTAGACTTTGTTAAATCTAACTGGGGTGAGGATAGCTTCTGTTCAATTATGTACACTGAATATCAACTACTGTTGCTGAATGTTTGTTGATACATATAAGCGTCGCGCTCACTGAGAAACCCTGATGTTGCCTGCGTTCCTGCATATATTTGTACATCCAGACTATTATCAAACACACCACACACACAGAGATACAATCTACGCTATTTCTCAATTACTCACACTACACATCTAAATATACAAACACACACACGCTCAATACATAGTACTGCGGGCAAAGCATCTATATGCTAATGATCAATGCTCTCTGTTGATTTTCTATTGACCTCAAGTGAGACTGCACAGAGAAAATAGAAGCACTGAACACAAGCAGTTTACTGAATTGCTACATAAATCAGAAGCATGTTAGCAAACACTCAGAAGGTGCCTCATAGCACAGTCAATCCCCCACTGCTGTTAGAAAAGGCAATGTCCTGAATTAGACAGCAGATATACAGGTAATACTGCGGCACACATGTTCAGATATACAGAGAAAAGTTGGGGCACGGCGAGCCCAGATCAGATACAAGAAGGGTTTAGGGAGGCAGTGGAAGAAAGAAAGTAGAGTGTATACCGAGAGAAAGGCTTGAACGATGTCTGCCTTGATGGAGCTGAGAGGCTTGTCTTTGATGACAATGAAGATCTGCTCCTCTTTCTCCAGGTTGATGAAGTTACCAAACCAGGATTTTTTGGCAAGTCTGTAGGGAAAGACAAAAACAAAAACAGTTTGTCAGCTGTAAGTTTATACTGCTGTATGCACCTAAAAGAGTTTGTCTTCCTTCCACTCTTTCTGCTTCATTTTACCCACCTATCCATCTATCTATCCATCCACAAAAATGGAGAGAAGGTGAAGAGTTCTCTATTTCTCTCTGCAGCTCTGGGCAAATGGAAATGAGCAAACAGAGGATACCTCGAGGGAAATGAGCTATAACTGTGCAGGGGAGGTAAGTTTTAAGACATTTCACCTCCTTTGCAACTGGGTATCTGTAAATGCATGTATGGATGTGTGTGTGTGTGTGTGTGTGTGTGTGTTGGAGAGAGAGAGAGAGGGAGAGCGAGAGAGATAGTGGAGCCTCTCTGTGAACAGAACTGTAAGTCCAGAAGGGGTGGAGGTAGATGAGTTCGCCACGGGCTTCAGCCCAGGTGTACCTGCACCCACTAATAAGCCATATAGACTCCTGTTTTCTGAAATATTAATATTTCATGTGATTCTTGAAAATGTTAATGATAAGCAAGACTCAAACAGCAGCAACTCCCAAATTTCACCCTTATAAATATTAAATAAATAAATACATACATGTTTAAATAAGAATACAAACTTACATAATCTTACAATGTCTGCAGAGACAATAAAGGGTGCATTGTTCAGCAGTAAGAAGCTGGTTACAGCTGGTGTGTGACTGTTTATGCCTGTGATCAAGCCAGCTAAGAGAAGGTCTTTTCCAGCCAACTATCCAACTCCTTCCAGCCAGGACATTCTTCCCAGCCAGATGGAGATGGCCAAGCCAGCCAGCCAGCCAACCAAACAGGCATATCTAGGCCAACCTTGAGTTAACAGGCCCCTGGGAGCTCAGCAACATCACACAGGATGCCTACCCTCCCTTATAACTAACCCACTGCCTCCTGCTACGGTGCTGCTTTTCCAGACCAGACCAGACCTGAGGTCATTACAGGGAACTCAGCAGGCAAAAATCAAACTTTCATGGATGTAATACTTCCCAAAACACCATGCTATCAAAAGCAAGGCTGTTTGAGCCAATGACTGAGGGGCTGACAGGTTCTGCATAGTTATGATAGGAGGGGTGGCATCTACTCACTCTGGAGAAGACTCTGGTGTGAGGCTGGACATCTCCTCTTGCGTGGGAACTGCGGAAGCAGGGTCAAAGGTCAGACAAAGGAGGAGAAAGATAACAAGTAGATCACACGAGTGGGTACCGTCAGATTTTAGGACGGATGAAATTAACACAATTACAAGATAATTCAGTGTTACCACAACAATCCTAAATCTGCTGTAAAGTCAGTACCTTGGAGTTTCCTGCGGTGGAAGCGAGGTGATCCGAGGAAGCTGTTCTTGATGGAGTTGAGACGCGTCCTCCAAGGCATGCCTCCGATGGAAGGGCTTGGGGGCGGCGTTGGGTTCGGGGTTCCGGCTGGGCTGTCCTTGGGAGTGTGCACCGGAGTGCCCTTTGGGGTGGGGAGGGGGCTGCCTCGAGGGGAGGGGTGAGGGGTAACCTGTATGAGGGGGATAGATTTGGGCGGGTGGTCAGTGAATGAAGAAGGTGCCGGCGCCACAGGGTGAAAGTGGTGCAGCCGGATGGGCGACAAGGGCACCACTGGGCTGTAGGGCACGGAGAGCTGGGGGTTGGCAGCAAAAATGGAGCGCCGCACCTGGGGGCTGTTTGGGGTGGGAGCACAGGGGTTGGAGGATGGGAAAAAGGGGGAGGATGGGGAGGACGGAGAAGTAGGGGTGGGGGGCACAGAGGCAGAGGGGGGTTGCAATGGGAGCTGGCAGGGAGTGGAGGGCTCTGATTTGGCTGCAGATGCTGCATCTGGGGAGGTTTCGGGGAGCGGGTTGGATCGTGTGGCTTGGAGGGGCTTGGGGGCAACTTTGGGCTTGGCTGGGAGTGTCTGCGTCTTGCTGAGTGCTGCCGGCAGAAGCTCACTGTTTGGAGCGAGTGAGTTGGGGGTGGAGATACGGGGGCCCGTGCGAAGTGGGACTGGCTCAGGGGAAGGACAGGGGCTTGTGTTAGGGGACTGCAACAAGTCTGGAGACTGAGGTGGTACACAGAACTTTCTGACAGGCTGGAGCACACAGTGGGAGGACACGCAGCACAATACAGCCAAGAGTTAGAGCAAGTGGAGGAGAAGAAAACAAAGGAAAACACATGCAGGCACACAAACACATACATAAAGTAAGGCAAAAAGGGTGGCAAAGCAAACACAGCCACAAATAGATGCAGGTGAGATGTGTACATACACAGGAGAGATGGAGGCATTGCAAAAAAAGAAAGACAGGAAAGAAAAGAAAACATGCAGTTAGACCATCCAGGGACTCAGAAATGAAATGGGAACAACAAAAACAGCAAGCCATGCACACAATTTTTAAAAAGGCCAAACAAAACGTGTAAAAAGATGGACTTCAGTTGAATAACACATGCAGGGCTCTGCTAGCAAAGAAAAGCAAGCAGACATAGACAGGTGTGACAGACATAAGGCCAGCTGTGCGGACAATTTGTCTGTCTCAATAACAGGAGGAACCCCATTTTGGTATAGTTGCCGTAAAAGGTTTCTTGATCTGTTTCATTTGTAATGGTGAAATTGCAGCCACAATGGCGCACTGATAAACTATTTCCCTCGGACGCCTCCCCCTTTCCAGACATAAATCCGAGAAAATAACCCCATATGGAGTCTCTTGCTGAGAGCAAAATCCAGGCTTTGGGTAGGTCTGAGAAATCAATTTCCCTTTCAGATCAGCCTGAAGGAACCTGTGTGGCGCAGTGGAGCCCGTTTTAGGATCCTGGCTAATCTCGAGCCTTCTCAGGTTAGTCAGCTGGAAAAGTTTACTACAAGCTTCCCAGCTCTGAGCAAGAAAAGTGGGGAGTTTCTGAAGCATTCCCTGAGCTGGATTTCCACAGAGCTCAGGCCACAGAAAACAGAGAGAGGGATAATAAGCAGAAAGGATGGCGAGAGAAGAGGCTTTAGGGGAGGAGAAAGTTTGCTGTGCTGTCACATCCCCCATGCAAGTTCATCAGTATGTTTTACTTAACAGAAAGGTCCAGCTATATAGACACAGTGATGACTCATGTAAAGTCAGATCTAACACCGGATATGAAGAGCTTATCAGAGTGGATCCCCACTTCCTCAAAATGCAATGGTAGAGCTGAACTATGTGATTGATAATTAAGGAGTGGAAAAACGTGCAATATCTCAGACTTATAATAAAGTGAAACAGTAGAGCAATATTGCATGTGCAGAGAGATTTAGTGATATTGCTTTCATGCTGTATGTGCTGTGCTCTGTTAAAGGTGACGATGTGACTGTAGTGACTGTCTTTATTTTCTCTAGCAGACACAAACAGCAATAAGATGACAGCAATAAGACAGGATCAGCAGTAGCTGGATGGCCCGTTATCCCTGAAGGTGAACAACTAGATATCTGAGAACTGGGTCAAGAGGTGTGTGCCTGTGTTTGTAAGTGCACAGAGAGTTGTGACTTACCCGTGGGCTACTGAGGGGGCTGGTGGAGAGGCCAGAGGAGGCTCCACTAATAGACCGCGACCTGTGGCACAAACACACAAGAACACACACAGGGGCAGAGGTAATTTGTGAGATGTGTAACCGTTACATGTTTCAGTAAACACAGGTGGAGGTAAGAGCTTGGAGGTTACATGTTGCACACAGTTAGAAAGCACTACAGCAGATGTTAACATCATACTAAGCACAGTAGTTGCTATCAAGCCCTTTGCAAACACAACACTTATTGACACAGAGGGCAAAAGCATTACAACAAAGTAACACGCTGACTTGACAACATTATTAGCATTGACTCCCAGCAATTAGTCTCACACCAATTAAGCTAAAACTTCGGTTTAAAATATGTCGATTTGAGTGCAGCTTCTCCTGCAAATCTATAGGCTGCTTTCTCTCAGATTAGCATTCAAATTAGCTTTCCGCCTCATCTATATTTTGCTAATAAACCAAACATGTTGACTTTTGGGCCTTTGCATTGGATCAGTAGAAAATATCTTGAGGGGGGAAATGAAGTGGGACATTTGGTTGAGTGCCATTTGTCATGTTCCTCCCCCCTGCAGATGCTGTCAATAACCCCTATGAGCAGAGCCCTGCTCAAAAATGAACAATCACAGGACAATCTGTCTCCATCAAGCGCACACACATGCACACGTTTACACACAAACACACAAAAAACAGGGCCTGTCAACACTCGGAAACACCAGCTGCTCACTGTCACAACACTGTTCCTTTTTGTCATTCAATCTAATAATACCCCCCCCCCCCACCCCCCCTTCTCTCCCTTTTTTCTCTTTCCATCTGAGCATTGACACATTTGTGAACATGTGGCAGAGCCTACAGATCGTTTGTCTCTCTTTGAAAAGATGAACACTACAACTAGTGTTTTTTCAACTTGCTCGACCTCACGGACAAATGGGAGGGGACAATGAGGGAGTTGAGGAGTGATGGAGGAATGAGGGAGGTATGGAAGAATGAAGGATGGGAGGGATGGGTGGAGTAATGGAGACTGATGTTCATTCCTGATGCTCGAGCAGTCCCACGAGACCACAGAGGCATCCATATGTGGACACATCACTCTGTAAACGGTTACAGCTAGTAGCCATAAAAATGATACTGGTGCTGTCATAACAACAAACCTGGATTAAGAGGTGTGGATGTCAAGCCTCTAAAGGTAGAAGCACTTATTTGGGTTCAATCATCCACCCCCCTTTTAATTTACAACCACCTAAAGAAACAACAGATACTAGAACAGCAAACCTTCTCCTGAGAGGCACAGACACAATCAGAACAGAATAGAAGCAACAGCTACCATGAGAGAGAGGAAAATATAGAATCGCCCACTCTTAAGCTATTTTTGTAATTCTCTCACTGCCCCTTCTGTGAGTGTATTTATTGCACACACTCAGGCACACATGAGTAGGCGATGTTGAGACCATGTTGGCTGGGATTTCTTGTTTCAGAGAGCAGCTGACCAGACAGTTGCTATCATTTACATATAAGTCCTACAGTCCACTGAGACATCCCCACAGTTGCTCACTACAGCGTTTGTGCACACATAGCCAGTTGCACTTCATCTAAACATGGCCAAAACACAGCATCCCCGGGCCATTATGAACATATTGTTAGAGGCACTCTGCGTCTGTTAGTGTTGGACCAGCAGGTCTATAAAGCTAATGTTACAGATGGTTATGCTGTACAGTAATGGGCTGTCAGAGGCTCACCCTTGCTTCGGAGAGACGATGAGTTATTGTTGAAGAGTGTTTTATTTATAGTGAACAGCGTACACAGCTGAGCAATCATTTATCATCTATCATATAGAAACATAGAAGCCAAGTTATTAAATCAGTAGGAGTGGAGATGCTGAAGCCAACTAAGCCCTCTATATTTCTGTGTGTGTGTGTGTGTGTGTGTGTGTGTGTGTGTGTGTGTGTGTGTGTGTGTGTGTGTGTGTGTGTGTGTGTGTGTGCTTTAAAGGGTCAGTTCACCATAATTACAAAAAATGTAATATGTTACAAAATTTGTTCTGTAGTAGAAACTAGCCACACAGAAAGTTTAGGTGTGATTGGCCCACGTTGGATGAGATCTATTTCTGCAAAGATGTCTGCCTCCACCCAAAAAAAAAAATTGAGGTGAGAGTCCAGGATAACCGGGGATATAGCTTCTGAAAAGACATACTTCTGTTAGATTTCTTAACACTGTAAGCACCAGTGGCGGAAGGTAACAAAGTACATTTAATTAAATACTGTACCAGGCACTAGTACTTAAGTATTTCCATTTTATGTTTCTGTCTATTTCATTACATTTCAAACATAAATATTACACTACTACATTTATTTGACAGCTGCAATTATCAGCAATTAAGATTTTACACTCTAAACCGTGGAAAGCTTATAAATTACAATGTGTTGTAATAGATTCAACCACACAGAAGTCTAAAATATCTGCACAATGACTATGTTTAGTAAGTAAATTTAGCTGCCAATACTTCTGTACATTTACTGAAGTAAAGTTTTGAATGCAAGGCTTTAACTTAGTATTTTTACATTGTGGTAATAAAACTTTTCTTGAGTAAAGCATTTGAATTCTGGTGAGCACTACAAACAAAATTCCATTTGACTCATCTTGTAAAGGACATCTTTTCCAGTCTAATAAAACCACAACTATCTGCACTGCTATAGACCACTGGAGGTATGAGAGAAAATGTGTTTTTTAATCATATTAATTAAAATTAATTTTTGTTTTTACAATTTGGATGAAGTAACCCTTTAGTGTGTGTTTGTATACTTGCACCCATTCGTGTGTGCAATATTGTATGGTGCACTATATGTGTACGTGTGTGCCAACCCAGTTTTCTTTCTCTATTATCCATTAGTCCTGAAGCTCACATTTCCCATAAGGCTGTTTTGGAACAGGGCCCAAGTCCTCAGTGTCGGACCACCGGCTGCATCAGAGACCCATCCAAAGCACCCGTGGGGGTCTAATGTTGGGCTGTGGGGAATGGAACCAGTACAAGAGGTTCTGGATAATGGCATGGACTGAAATACAAGGAAAGTGAAACTAAATAAAATGGATGGTGGTAGGAGTCAAACGAATGACACTGCCAAGGCCAAAACACAATGCTACTGCTCTGCTAGCGCGATTCAAGGCAAGAGAAAGTTCAATTTTTTTTTCTCTTCCCTGCCTCGATATTGACTTTGTCAATGGAGTTCTTCCACACGGAGTAAATATTCATATAAATCAACACACGGTTTAAATTCATTTCCTTTCCTGAACCCTGACAACTCCCAGTGGACTCAATGCATTAATATTCAAAACTCAGCTCCCTTGAATTTCAAAATGTAGAAAGACCCCTGCAGTTTATGCTGTAGAGATCAATGTTAAAGGTGCTTCATTTGTGCTCATTTGAGCCTCTTAAATAAATTAGAGTCAATAATTACCATGAGAGCACAACTTATTAAGACTGCTCCGACTATACCCAGCACATTTAAACTTCATGAAGCAACTAGAGCAGCAAAGAAAAGAAAATCAATTGATATTCTCTTCTTCACACTGCAGCACTTTTCCATATTTCATTTACATATCATTAACCTCCCTTCATTTCTCCTGGCATGTTGTTAAGTTTTTTAAAATTAAATCAGGGGGATTTCTTGCGCTTTTTAAGGTACTTTGGGTATATAAAGAATGAAAGAGGCATTCATATGGGAATGTCTCCGTGTGTGTTTCTCTGCAACATGGCTACTGCAGCATTTATCCCATATCTCTTCAATTATGTTTCACAGAAGCAGTCAAATCACCAATCACATGTATGAAAATGGAGCCTGGACAGATGATTGGATCGTAACTGCCTACATGAGATATGTGAGGCAAAATGCTGGGTAAGGATAAGGTGCAGGCATTTTCGTTGTGTAATTTTAGATAAAACCGTTTCCCCTCTCTTCCACCATTTACGCTGGTGGAAATGTATCCTGTCAAAACACATGTTTCAAAGTCAGTCCTCTCTCTGACACCCTCTGATCTGAAGTTCTATGGATCTTCTGTGCTGTCGACAAAAGTTTGCTGTCGGAGAAAGATAAGGTTAGGTTCAGAGAAAGTCAGTCAAATCTTTGGACGTTATTCTGCTACGTATATGCTTCCCCAACACTATCATCTATATACACACACACACACACACAAGCGCACCCATGATCAAACAAAGCGCAAACAAGGATGTGATAAAAGGCGAAAAAGTCAAAAATAAATAAATAAATAAACACAACAAAATCCAGAGACTTTTTTACTTTTTCCCCCAACTGATCAGCTGGAGAGCTATGAATTGCAGTGGGGGGGAAAAGAGATGTATAGCGAGAGAGAGATTTGATTTGATTTGGAGGCGGAGGGGCTGTGGTATAGGACTCCCCCCACCTCCAACCCACCACAGCAGATAGGAAGCCAGACAGAGAAAAACTAGCAGCATTTCCACATTAGCATAGCAATTCCATACAAACAGAGGGGGGCGTTTGGGGCTGAAGGTCAGCTGCACACAAGGGACCACAGAAAAGAGAGAGAGAGAGAGAGGGAGGGAGAGAGAGAGGGAGGGAGACATCAAAGGTTAGTGAGGTCCCCCAAACGAGATTTGAGTGGAGGGGTAAGAACAAACACACTGATTTAAAGTAGCATGGAAGAAAGATGCAGCAGGGCTTTTTTAATGACTGCAGCGGCTGATATATGTAGGATCCAGACACAAACTTATTTCATATGCTGCCATCTGCAGATGTGACTTTGTATTGAGAATCATATGAGAGAACCTAAAGGTCCTGTTTAAATAAAGGTTCAAAACACTCATTTCGGTGCACTTTATGATGTGCAGCATTCAGTTGGATATGATTCATGAACTGGTGTTGAGGAAAGTATTGTAAATGCTTGATAAAGTCATTGCAAACTGGCCTATTTTGGGATTCTAGTCTTGACTAAAACAGATGAGTCAGAGCGAAGGGCAGAAGAAAGCAGCTTCTAAACTAGTGTAACCTTTAAATAAAGAAGAGATAAGACTTAGATCGCCTGAAGGGATGAAGAAGCAAAGAAGAGGCAATGAAACACAAGAAGATGAATCCTAAACCAAAATTCAGAGGCACCAGAGGACTGAAAGAATTAAGCAGAAGTGTTCAGAGGTGGAACTCTTGAAATGAGTTTAAAACTTCTGAAGTGACTTCCCCTGGTGAAATGAAGCGGGAAATACATTCTTGATGTTTTGTTGTTGGCAAAGCACAATGGGAGTTACACTGAGGAGTTATTAATGCATCTGACATTTGGTTGAATATTCAACTTTATAACTATTTCTTTTATCTATATAATATATGCCCTCGCTGCTTCTGCATTTATGCCCTATACCTCTGAAAGCCTTTTCCAGCACTCTGCCAATCTGCCTATCATTAGGCAGATCAGGTTATCACCCCCTCAGATTCAATCTTCCCTGCTGTCACAAATGTCACTGCCTCTGAGCAGAAATGTGCGGTGTGATGATATATTGGTTGTTGAAATAAGATGAGGAAATAGATTTTAAATCAGTCCGTGGTGGCTTGTGAGGGTGTGGATCTGGCTTGACTTGAACATTTCTAAAATAGAGAAATGTTCTGCATTCGGAGAAAGTGGGACACAGTATGGGAGAACTGATTATCAATGCATTCAGATTATGAAAAGAAGAGATAATTGAGACGGAAAAGAAGGAGTGTAAATATTAAGGCTCTGAAATGCAAATGCACTGTCCTCCTCAGTTTGAAAATTAAGTTAATTAAGAGAGTTAAATCAAACTTTAGGGACCATCCCAAAACTGTTGACTCTGTTGGACCCACCTTCTTTCATTTTTCTGATGAAATTTAGCTTATTAAAATGGACTTAAAGTAAAGTGTAAAGCTGCCACATGCTGCTTATGTAATCACCATTTACACAAAGTATTCTATCAACAGAAAACACTGCTGCATGTTTCTCCTGCCACGGATGTCTCCTTGCATGAGGGTGAGACACGGAGCAAGAGGAGGTGAAAGTGTGAGGAGTGAGTGGCAAGTGAATACCTTTCTTCTTTGCTGCATTTTGTACTGGCGTCAGGAATATCCAAGCTTTTACTGTACACTGATTTACTACAGTGAGACAGGAGACAAAGCGAGCAGAGCGTCAGTCTCTGTTTATGTTTGTCCACAATCTAGCCTGCTGACATCAGAGCCAGACTCGCTGTCAGACCTGCTGAAACACCACTGGGCTGCGAGATCCTCCACACATACACAAACACACACAGAGCTATGTCTATCTCTACTTGTTCATTTGAAAATTGTATTGATTATTTAGTTTTTTCTTTTCACCTCCATGTGTACCTTTGTCCATGCTGCGTCATGTCGATAGCCCTCCTTGCCGGTACAGGTGAGCCTCCGTCTGTGACACTGAGGACCTCCATGGACTTCCTCTCCGGTCTCCTCTTGCCATGACGGTTCAACATGGGAGAGTCTACCCGCTTCTTTGGGGGATCTGAGCGAAACAGCAAGACTGATCATTTCAGAATCAACACAATGCACCAGGCGTCTCTGTACGTTAATGCATCTGTTTTTACACATCGAGTAGTTTTGTGCATTAAATGCATATGTGTGAGTGTTGGAGTGATGTTTAGGGCTGATCACATTGACATTTTAACTAATAGTGAATAAGTAACGGTTTCCTCCCAGACCTTGAACTAATGGTCATTGTATTGACTTTATCACGTTCACTGAAGAGGGAGTCTATTCATCAAAATGTCAGTATCTCACAGCAAACACACACACACACACACACACACACACACACACACACACACACACACACACACACACACACACAAACACACTTACACATTTACACATAATACTCCTCCTATTGCAGTGCTCTTGTCAGAAAGTCTAAGTAAAGCATCCCTGTTTCTGCACAGATTTCTGTGGGTGGAAATCTTTGCTGGCTTGCGGTGTGCGAATGGGAGAACACCTTTTTTTTGATGAGTTAATATTTGAACCAAAGCAGTAGGAGCTGGCAGTTTAAAAAGGAACTAAAAAAATAGCTGCCCTATTGACACCTTCTATTTCTGCTACTATAATGCATTGAGAAGCTTGTCTATATTCAATAAATAGAAACTACTGGAGAAGCAGTACACCGCTACTGGAGCTGATTCAATATTTTCTGAGGGAGGAAAACACGGCAGAGCGCTTCAGACACTAGAAGCATTCATGAGTTACCTTCACACAGTACTTATTTTTGTCTACATTGGCTTGTTTTGTCTGTGTAAACAGCGTTTATTCAATGACTAGATGAGAAGCCATTTAAAATAGACACTAGTCACATAGTAGTATTGTTCAGACATAGGCTACTGTGTGCTATACTGTGTTTACCTATTTATTTCTATTTTCTCCTGCTATGCTCTTTTCTTTCTTTATCTGCATTTGTCTTTTTGGTCCGAGCCTCACCAATCTCATTGCGAGGGGGAAGGTTCTGGTCCTCCTGACTGGGGTACCTTTCCTTACGGTCTAGTAACAGGAAGTAGATCATCTTTTCTTGGTTGTCACTGCAAAGAAGAGACAATAAAAAGACATAACAATTGTTTTAAACAAACCTGGGCCATTCCAAACACATACATGTGTATAAATTACTGAAGCATTCATATACATACACGCACCAGCATATGCCTGCAAGCGCTCAAAATCAAGACATTAAACTGCAAAAACCCTCACTATGATTAATGTCTTTTAATCTTTTGGAGTTCATTGTGAAACAGCTACTATATAGCTTCCATCATTAAAACAAAAGTTTAGTTTTACAGCTCATTAGGCCATCATATAATATTCTGCATAATATTTTGGGGGAAATGCCCTCCATACGCAGCGTCCAGGGGTAAGTTTATGAAAGTATGAAAACATTACGAGTTCATCATTTTCTTTCTCTGTAAATCAGGAAGCCTAATATCTTTAGCCTCTAGGCCAATACTCTCTATGCAAAAGGCCCAAGGATTGGCCCTCCATAATAAAGACAGATTGGAAAGCAGTAGGAGGCAAAGAGACAAGGACCTGCAACTTCAGCTAAAATGAACCAGGGGAAAGGAGAAAGAACGCAGATTTTCATCCAGTCCAGCACTATTATGGGATGCTCCCAGGAGAAAGGAAGCAAAAGAAGCGATGGGGAGGGGGTAAAATGATATAGTAATACTTGTTTAATATTAAATTAAATATGCCAGGCAAACGTAAAATAGAGGGAAAGGGCATAGAAAAGCAAATCAAAATGAAACTAAAGAACTACAACATCTGCAAGCCCATTTTAATAAAAATATGTGTACAAAAGACTGGAGGGTAAGTATCCTCAGCATAATTGCATATTCACAGAAAAACACATGTAACTCGGACACAAACATTTGTAGCAGAACATAAACAATGTGACCCAGGAGCTTGTTCCTGGTACAAGCCTGGTACAAGCCAGTTTGGGGGGAATGTATCCAGTGGCGAGCGGTGTAAGCACTGTGTGATAACAGTTAAGTGATCTATAGCTTCTGACATCTAAAGTGACAGGCCATTTCACAAGAGCTGGGGAAAAACCAAGGCCGTCTGTGTACACACACAGACACCACGCACCCATCCTTCCATTGCAGTACCACCACACAGCCCCATCCCCTTCTCCACGTCTTCAGCTGCTTTTATTTTTTTATTTTTTCAACACACTGTTTCACTTTTTGGCCCTCCTCACTCTCTTCACCACACCTTTTAATTTTTTCCGATCCACACATCCAAACTTCTTGATCCCACCTTTTCCTCTTTCCCATCCCCCATTTTTGCCCCTCCATTCACTCACTCATCTGACAGCAGGTCTTTCAGTAGTTTGTTTTTGTCTCTGAAGCAGCCCAGGGAGTGCATGCTGTCCAGTACGTCTGGGTCGATGTCGTCTGCGGAGGGTAGACTGCGGATGGTCACTTTCCTGGGCACGGGCTGCTCTGGCTCTGGTTCATTCTTCCCCCCTCTGAGAATATAAAGAAATTACAACACAAATAAGGACACTGGTCAGTCATTTTGGTTCCTACTACTGTAATTTCCAGTGGGTTTAAATCCATCAACATAAACGTTTATATATATGGTAGCTTAGGATATTGATCTCACGCAGATTTACAGATCTGATGAGTATGAACGATCAATAGCACATGCAATATGTACATAGTATTTCAGTGTTTGTTTGCCTCTTGGTCAATGTGGGCAATAAGTTTGCCTCGTTGTGACCCTGGTTCACATTATGAAACTTTCATAGTCATGTTTTTTCCCCGGTATAGTCATATTGTATGCAAGCTTCAGGGGGTGAACAGTGTTCATCTTGCTCACCAAGATGCAGACAGATGACTGAGTCATGCTGTTAAGTTTTGCAGTCTCCCTCTGTCCTCCTGTTTTTTTACTCCAAATTTAGTTTCTTCATTGTTCCCTCGCTTCTTTCCAGACACTGTCCTTGTTATTCCACTTTTCTCTGTCTCTCATCCGTCTTCCTGTACATAAGAAGCCCACACGCAGGACTTAATTTCTCTAGATTTAAAATGAAAAGCTAATTAGCACTGGCACTGTTTTCTAGAGGATTTCTGGGAAATTCTAGATGTTTATTTCAATTAACCAATTCATCCATTCATTCCAATTCACACAGATTCACATATATATGAAACTCTCCTGTACTATTCCCTGCTAATAAATCTTTTCTTTCTCTCTGGTGAGCCCAGTGAAGCGTTAACCCCAAAGGTAACTATTAAAATCACCTCCACCTGTCTATGGCCCTGTCTACAGGAACACGGGTATTTTCAAAACCGTGACTTTTTCTACGCGGTTTGGCCGTTCGGCCACACTGAAACGCAGTATCATTTTTGAAAACCCCTGCCAGGGTGAGGATTTTAAGAAACGCCGGTTGCATTGTTGTCGTGTAGACAGTAAACCAGAGTGCGCGCCGTTATCTGCTGTGTTGATGTCAGATTGTGCGCCATTGCCTGCTTTGTTTACAATTTTTCTAGGCACCAATTGGCCAACATGGCCTTACGGTGAGGGTCATTTCGCCGCCTGGTGGTTTTGTTACAGCCCTTGATAGCCTGTTTTACTCATTTGGTTTTTTAAACGAACGAGGAAAAACTCCGGTAATAAAAATACCCGTGTCCGTGTGGACTAGGCCAATGCTGTAAACTGTGAATTGGATTCACAGTGATAGTTCACCTCACACAAACCTCCCCCTGTTTCACTATGTGCATATAAATAACATTTGGTGGTGGGGGGGGGTAATAAAAAAAGAAATATATCAACAGGACCCTTGTTTCATTCCTTTATACGTCTGACATGTACCTAATGACTTGCTGCCTTATACTAGACTCAGTTGCCAGTTTATTAGGTAAACCTTGCAAAAACTAATGCAGTCTACTACAACATCTGACCAGTAAATCCTACCTTAATTAAGGTTATAGGATTGAATTTGTGTTTAAACTGTTTTAGAAAGTTGTACAACAAACTACATTCTCCACAATGACCCTAAAGTTGAATCAACACCTCTCTTAACAGTTTCAATAAAAACAGATCAACTAATCAACTGTGAACTGAGTGTAGATTTGTCCACTGCCCATCATTAGAGGTTTTGGTAAAGACACTTTTCTAGCACTGTTCTTTTAGCACAATTGCTCTGCTCAGCTGCTGCTGAAAGATTATTATTATTATTATTAACTAATAAAACTATTTTAAAAAGCAACGGGAGTGGATGGTCTTATTTGAATTTGTTAAAAAAAAGATGTAGTTTGAGTGATTTGGATAGATAGGCTGCATATGTTTAATTTTTTTTTACCACTGATGAGCTGCTTCTGGGCCACAGCCACATTTCTCAGAGTAATACCACCCCACCCACCCCTTCATTCATTAATTCATACATTCATTCATTCAGCCAGTCACTTGGCCAGCCATCCTGCCATGCAGGGACAGATTTCTTGACAGCTTCCTCACTGAAAAAACTCACATCACATTAGTGTTCTCTCACAGTCTACTCCCGTTTCTTTTATCAGTTTCACTGTCTGTTTGCATGAGTACATGACAGAAACCATAACTCAACCCTGTAGAGGACTCACAACCTCCTCCCCTTTTTAACGGGTCCATTACAACTTTTAAATGCAGATGATTTGATCATTAGAGGGTGAATATTAGCCATTTAATATAGCCTAAACATGAATTAGTAAGAATATTAAAAAAACATTTATTCATGCTTTTGCTCCTCATTAAAAAAAACTTTCTCATAAATGAACATAATTTACGATGACCTGTACCACAAAGATTTATGTTTAAGTTTAAAAAGGTGAGTACACTCTGCTATGAAAGTTAAACGATGGGTACACTGAGGTTAGGTGGGTTCATCCTCCACCACATCCTTGCTTGTTCCCTCTCCCCTGCTCCCTGTTCAGTTGACCATATGCTGCACATCCTCTTTCATGCACTACCAATTTAGCCCCACATCCCAGAGAGTGGAGTCATGCCCTGCTCAAATTTACTCTTGTGTACAGGGCTGAAACTCAAAGCCATTTATCATGTGGTAGGTCCCCTCAGGTCTACAACCCCTGCAGAATAGGCTAAGAGAGGGGAGAAGAGGAGTGCAAGGTGTAAAGAGGAAAGAGGAAGGAAAGACAGAGGATTACTTACATGTACCATGTGTGCTTCTGGATCAGTTCTAACTGTAAAAGACAAGAGAGAAGAAATGGTCAGTACAAAAGCAACGTGATACATTTGATTTGAATCATTTTGTTATCTTTTTCATTCTATGAAAACAGTCAAAAGGAACAGAATCACTGAGGAAAAATGTGAATGCAAAGAACAATAATATTTTGTATGTGTATAGAAATGTTTGGTGCAGGATGGTTTAAGTAAGCCTTCAGCCTACTGGCTTAATGGAAACACAATAGGACAATATAGTCAGACGGTGGAAGTAAATAATACGATATTCAAACATTAATACTGCCAATGGGAAAAACTTATTGAGAAATGAAGTGAGTCAGAGAGAGGTGCTGTAACAGAATGAGAAAGAAGTGATACCACTGAGCTATAAACAGAGAATATTATCTCCCTCACACACACTGCTGACCCTGCCAAGCCCTCTGGTCTAAAGGGAATCTCCCATTCTCATTCTCTTCCCATCTCTCTTACTCACACAAACACACACTCTCTCAATACTGCTCTTGTCATCACACTTTTAATGTGGCCACTTTGTCAACAACACTGTCAACATGGTCTTTTGGAGAGTAACGAAAAGGAAAAAGTGACAGAAACTGTGAGCAAAAGGGCAACAAGGAAGATGTCTGTTGATTCCACAGTGCTGCTGCCCACAGAGGAAAATAGGATCAATGTCACTGTTGGGACTTTTTAATTTGCTCCTGCTGTTGTTGAGGAACCACGGTAGATACACATAGCAGCTCTAATTATTATCACTTATTCAGTGGTATAGTTCTTGGACTATGTGTCTCTTTTATTTACCTCTGTGCCTCCGCACTGATGAATGCCTTCATGGGATACTAGTTCTGTCACAGAGCTGGCCAGAGTGCAGTTACGGACTATAGGTGAATCTTGTCTGCTTCCACAGAGGTCATTGTATTGACAGGGACACCACACCTGTTAGATACAGGCCACTGGGTGACCTATACTCTCTCCCACATTTATTGGAGGTCTGAAGGCAAGAGACTGATATCACACGCAGGCTTGAAAGTGATGTGATTTGAAATGCAGTATCACATCAATCAGTGTCTAAATGTGACAGTAACAATTCCAGCTGCTTTCAATCAGGCAGTGGGGAATGCTGCTGTAATGGTGATTTTGCTAGGTGTATCCACGAGTGTATGTGTTCTGGTATATCTGGGTCCTGCATGAATTCATTTTCGTGCAACATGTACCAATACAAAATGAATGCCGGTCTGTGTGTGTATGCATATCTGAATCATACGGCTGTTTATTAGGGCAGGGAGCAATGGGGACCTGCTCTGCCCTACAAAGCCAAAACACAGTAACTATATTTGGTTAAAATGAAAAAATAAAACAGCATTTAAAGAACTAGAAAACAGAAGTAAAAACCAAACTGCAGTGAGTGTATTAAGTATTTAAAAGTTTTCTATGATTGAAAAATTTGTTCTTCATCTGCGTCATCACCATCAGTGAATTAGGTCTTTGATAAACTGCTCTTTAAAGGACTTGTGTGTAGGATTTAGTGGCATCTAGCAATGAAGTTGCAGATTTGAACCAACTGAATACCCCTTGCCTCAACCTCTCATTCCAAGAGTGCAGGAGAACCTACAGTGCCAAAAAAAGCAAATGGCCCTCTCTAGAGCAAGTGTTTGGTTTGTCCGTTGTGGGCTACTATAGAAACATGGTGGTGCAACATGGTGGTCTGAAGATTGAAAGGGCTCATTCTAAGGTAACAAAAACTCAACAATTCTTATTTTCAGATAATTTTACACCAATGAAAACAAACTCACATACTTATATTCCATTCCTACCATATTCTGTAAATTGACCACACTCTACAGTGTCTTACACACTGGTCCTTTAATATAATAAACTAGCCAACCCTCTTCATTAGTCAGGGATCATGAGGAAGCATCATTCCAGGGTTCATTTTAATATTGAAGATGAGGTGGATGGCCTGGTCACCTCTGGGGCCCCGATTACATAGACAGGAAATGAAGAGAAAGGCTTTTATTGGGCTAAGCCCCTTAAGCCCGGGTACGTGCCCTCCCACTCAGACTCGTGTACTTGTGTGCATCTACTAGCAAAATCTAATTAACAGAAGGTGAAAATAGACATATTGAACATACACAGCCAGCAGATGTAGTCTGACTATCCTATCGATTTGATCAATTCAACTAACTACTGACAATATTGTTATGGAAAATAATCCCGTGCAACATGTTCCCCTTCGCCACTCTAGGGTGTACATGTCTTCTCTCTGAGTGGGCGGTCACCACTGAACTCTAAGAACGCTCAATCTAACAAGGCTATTTGACATTCTGTGAGGTTACAACACATCCCCAGAGCTCTGTTTGGAGCCCTCATGCACGGCAGGGGGGCAGAGAGGTAGCATATTCTATCCCAGCGGCCCGGTCTGTGTGTAACCCTTTGTCGAGGACAGCGCCGGAGGCTGGCGGACATATCTAGGGGATCTCAGGGTGACCTGTCCTCATCAGGCAAAGAGAACAGAAAAAATAAAGCATATAGTGGGGTATTTCAAGTTCATGTTTCAACACTGCTGCTCATATGAAGGGCTATACCGTAAGGTTGTCAACTCTCCTGCAAATGAGCGTCACTTTTTTTTAGCAGTCTTTTACATTTCTGACACTGTGAAAGAAAGCTAAGGCATGGGGAAATGGAGTATCAACATCCACGTAAGGGTAGTGTCACCACATTTGCTTACAAGCAAGTTCATGAAAAGACTTTTGTTTACTGCATTGATCCACAGAGATCTGGAGAACCTGGAAAGGATTTGTACATATATGTATTCTGTATACAGAACAGTATGTGTGTGAAAATTTGGGGTTTTATATTGTGTATGTGTAAATACAGTAACTTGTGAGCATCTCTGTCCATCATCTGAGTGAGAATGGCACGAATCAAAGGGCAGCACCATCTCTCTGTGAAGCACGCACCTTTTGAGATCTCTGGCCACTTTCATTATTTACATTTCCCTTTGTCCATCTCTTTCTCTCCCTCATCCTGTCTCTCTGCCCTTCACATCTTTGCTTTCTCGTGCTCTCTTCCAGCCACCTTGCCAAGGTGATCAGTTGCTGTGTAGAAAAGGACTGGCATTGTGATGAGTACACTAAATAGTGCAGAGGGAGAGTACACAAACAGCAGTCCTCTCCTGAATTCACATCCTGTCCTTGAGGAAGAACACAAACAGAATGTGGGATGAGGCAAGGCAAACACATTTGGAACACAAGGGAGGAAAGAAGAAACAAAGAAAAAGACAATGATCGGGCTTAGCAGCGTAAAGTTGATGTTAGTCACTTTAGTTTGAATGTGTGTCTCTGCCATCTTGCTCTATCCTTGGAGCATTACAAGTTCCCCCAGCTTGCGGTGAATGTGCAAAATAATGATTTTCTGATGTGTCTGGGTCTTTTTTTCCCCATGAATGCTGTCTCACATAACATATAAATGTGGTTTGATGCTTCTACAACATCATCAGTAAATGCCTCTAGTTGTGGACTATGGATATGAAATATTTAATACAGATATTATTCAGGTGTTATTGAGTCAGTGAGAATGTATGAATTGTACATAAGGAAGTGCAAAGAGCACTGTGTACCTTCACCTTCACTTAAATATTTCTGTGCTAACAAGGGTGTGAATGCAGTATGTACATACCCTTAAATATATTCAGTACTTTGCAAAAGTTTTATTTGGTGTGACCACCCTTTGCCTTCAAAGCAGCATAAATTCTTTAAGGTACACTTGCACATCATTTTTGAAGGATCTTGGTAGGTAGGTTGGCCCTAACATCTTTGACAACTACCCACATTTCATAGCCTCAGCTGCTACTCTCTCTCTTCATGTGATCCCAGACAGACTTGATGTTGAAATCGTGGCTCTGTGGGGGCCACACCATCACTTTCAGGACTCCTTTTTGTTGAAGATAGTTCTTAATGACTTTCATTGCATGTTTAAGGCCGTTGTTATACTGTACAATACATTTGGGGCCAATCAGATGCCCTTCTGATCAGACTTCCAGTGACAGCAGATGGGTGCACCAGGGTCCCACTGTTTTTTGCCAGTTCTGAGCTGATGGCACAGCATGATGTATTTTTCATCTGCTGCAGTAAGTTTCTTTGGCCAACCATCGCGTCTACGGTCCTCACGGTTGTGTGTGCAACCTTTGCACTTCTTCAAAAGAACTTAGACAGCATATCTGGAATTTCATTTGTCTTTAAAATGCGCGGCAGAGGCCTTGCTGATGTAGTATAACTACCTTATGTCTTGTTGCTGTCCTCAATCAATTAATGGTTGTGAACAGCCCAAGACTAAAAGCACACAAAAGTATATGGAGATAATCATAACGGTGTGTTACCATCCAGCTTCTTAACTGAACTGACCGTTAGTCTTTTTGAGGCATCCACTTCAATCATGCCACGGAGAAGGTTCTGACAGTCTGGAGGAATGAAGTGTGGCATGTGAAACACTCCCAACTTCACCTTCTCTAACAGATTCCTCAGGTTGTCATCATCAAACGGCAGGGCACCCTAGAGAGATATTGGAAAGAAGCAAAGAGTGAGAAAAGGGAAAAGAAATTTGTACTGAGTAGAGAAGAAACAGTTTTCACTTGTTTTAACACCAGCATTAGAACAGACAAATTCACCCAATCAAGGGCAGAAAAGAAAAGAAAAAAAAATGAATGACTAACCAGGGTCGCCAGAAGAAACAAAACCACATTTTGAGTCTTAATCCTGCACAACTTAAAGAACATGTTCACTTTCTCAACTCGTTCAACTCTCCAATTAGAGGATTCTGCCCTTAGCCGCGATGCAAAATAAATAATGAACAGCGGTAAGCTGAAAACAGGGCTTTTCCAATAATTATCCAGCTTTCTCATTTACCTCGTTCATTTAGCATGCTCTCATCAGAGTCATTTATCAGAGCGAGCTGACACCTCACAGATGTGGCTGTTTGATGAATGACAACCTCCACCAAAAGACAAGATGGAGGGGGAGATAAAGAGGAAAAGGGTGAGAAAGACAGACAGAAAGGCTGAGGAATGAAGAGAGGTAGAGAAAACAAGGGAGGGCAGGCATGTGTAACAGATGATCTGAGCGCATCCTAACTGCTGGGGAGTATGCACGTCTCCCACAATCAGACAAATGGTTATCTCGCAGCTAGACAGTAGGACAAAACAGGAGAAAGACAGTATTCATCTGCAGTCAAACAGCAATGGGGAGAAACTTTTGTTTGGAGCAAGAGAAGTATGGTCATGATGGGGATAGTCATAAACAACATCTGGTTTACGCAACACAAAAGTACAAAGGAGCCTGTCCTTAACACAGATACACACACACACACACACACACGCGCCTGACAGAAAGAGACGGAGTGAGGGAGAAAGAGGCAAAAACAAAGACAAATAAACAGGGCCTGTAGCCAAAAGCTGCCCTGTCAGCGTTGATATTTATTTTGGGCTCTCTTCTTTCAGTTTGGCTCTATGAATTATTCATGGTACAGGAGTGTGTAGGAACTACAGTACAGCTGTTGATGAAACAAAGCTTCAGGGCTGCACGGCTGGGGAACCACAGACATAATGTTGCTAGAGAATAGGCCTGATTATGGATACAGAGTTGTGTGTAGATACAGGATAATGAATAAAAAGATGCTTCTTATTCTCTGATCTTCTATCAGCTTGAGGGCATTTCTGCAACATTTTTTCTGGTAAGACCTTCTAAATGTTAGGATTTTGAATTTAACTTCCTGAACTCTAAACTTATATTTGAGGCTCCATGGCAACTTCAAGCTCCCACCATCTTCTCATTCCACTGAGGTCAAACTTGAGTCCACGGTCAGTGTGCAAAGTTGTGCAAAGAGTGTCCTGTAACGAGTCTTACTTGTTTCCTACTTTGGAGTCATTATAGCTGGTACAAGGGCTGGACATACTGTCAGCTATAGATGGTAGGCAAAACGTTTGGGTTAAATTGTATTACACCGTATTTCTCTGGAGAATGTTAAACTGTATGTCAGTCCAATCACCATCAGTCAGTAAAGAACAAGCTGACACTCACCACCAACAGAGCAAAAAGAATGACCCCACAGCTCCAGACGTCTGCTTTCCTCCCGTCATACTTCTCTCCCTAAGAACAAGAGAGTGTTTCTTAGTGAGAGTGTTGGGGTTGATTCAAATAAGATGGACTATGAAAAAGAAGCTAGTAGAGCAGAGGCAATATTATGAATCAGTGAAAATTGACTTACCCTGATGACCTCTGGACAAGCGTAGTGTGGAGATCTGTAAAACAAGTGCATACACTAAATGAATTGAGGAAGTAAGCATAATAAAGAAGGGTCATTTAAGAACTTTTCCATTTCTACTGCTGTACTGCGAAGTAAGTCAGGGTTAAACAATCATGACACAACAACCATTAAACTTACACCACTGTATGAAAATGTGAAAATAAGAATTTAAGCAGACAATAAATGTCTCCAGTTAGCGTAGATCAAGATGTGCTTTGGGAGTTTAGATATCCTGAGGGAGTTTGGATGTCCTCCTGCTTGCTCACTCAAGGGCATCCTCTCACAGCAGACAGTGAACAGACCCACTAATCTTTACAGCACCTGGATGGGCTGACAGTAAACCCAATGCCTAGATTGACACATCAATATCGTATGAAGATTTATGGAGCTACCTTGCAACAGCTGCTCCATAAACCAATGGCTATGGACGAGCGGAGTGGCTGTGGAGTGACTTGTTATTCTATATATACACAGTGGCACTTTTGCAATACTTTGACATTGCCAGATTTCCAAAATCACTAAAATGAAATACAGAGAAAGTAAGGAGTAACAAGTGCTTAACATCAATCTCAAATCAAATTAACTTTTAATTACAGAATGTTTCTTTGTTTCTCTGAGATTGGGCAGGGCTCTGCCCTTTTTTGACTTGTCTACTTGTGACTACATACAGAAAGCAAATCAGGCAACTGTCTCCCCAAACCTCTCATCCTGGTAAGATGTCCTCCACCTCCTTCTCCCGCTCAGTCATATCTAATACCAGGACATTTGGCTCTAATGAGAGACTATCTGAAGTCTGTAAACATGGTGCCCATTAGGTCGGCAGTTGTCTTGTGTACTCACGAATACAAGCCCTGGCAGCGTGGCTTCATCTGGCTGTCAAAATACGGGCCGATAACAAACATTGCCACCATGTGAACGGGGAAGTTCAAACACGAAACCTATGCAAATACGGCCTTCCTGATTGCAAGTGTCAGAGTGCATTATGCAGATGAGCGAGGAATAAAAATAAAAAACAAGCCTGAGATTTGCACTAGTTATGCTTCAACAACACAGGAGCCACAGCTGGAACCAGCATGAATGGAAACTAATTATTTCAAGAGGCTTTAGCTGGCAAACACAGGGTGTAGGTAAAGACTGGAATACAGGCACCTCAGCTTTCTGCTTGAGCTGAATCCTAATTTGTCAATATTAGAAAACTAAATCAGTCACACATATCACCTACCTGAACTCTCCTCAACTCTGACACATACTTATATGGCTTATATTTGTCCACATACATCAGCTTTTAAATTTCTCTATACTGAAACACTCCATAATTATTCAATCTCTCCACTGTGGGACTCAAGCTCTTTGAAACAAGTGTGTACTCAAATAATTTGGCGAGGATCCATGAGAATTCAAGGCCCTTCTTTCCTGTTGTGTTTTACCTGCTTTTAATGGCCTAATTTAATTAGAGGTGTAAATAAAGTTCATATAAATGTATCTTAGCTCACCACATAAAAATTCTGGCCACATATAAAAGCCCATACATCATGAACTTTATATCACGATAAATAAAAACCTTGCTCCTCACACATGAAGTTCAGATTGTTAAACTAGGATACTAAAGATAAATCGAAAGCTGTAAGAGATGCTTCCCTTTGAACGGAGTGAAAAATGCACAAGTCTTTAGAAGAACAGTTGTGCGAGGGTTGATAACATCAGTCTTTTATTGCTATTTGCTCAAGCTCATTTACTCTTTCAACATAACACCATTAACATCGCATAAATTGAATTAACAGACAGGGAATTTGTCTTTATTCTTAGGACAATAAATAGCAGTATATTGGGACAAAATGCAGCTGTAAGTGGTTTGTCTGCCAGAAAACAGAAAACGCATTTGGATAAGGACCTAACATTGTACTGAAGCAGACTGCTGAAGTGGGGAAACAAAAATGATAAAGATGCCGGAAAAGCTGTTTTTATCTACACAGAAGGGCTTATCACTGTGAGGGTAGAAGAGAAGAGATTGGAACAAAAGAGGCCAAAAAAACTATTAAAAAGTTTACCACAAGATTACCATGTCCCTTTCACAGTACACACAGTACATTTTATGCAGTTTGCAAGGAGAGTATCAAGAGCTTAAGAGATACGAGTTCATATGGAGTAGTGCAAGAGTGAGCAGTATGGGCTAGCAATATTGAGGAGACACAGACATGCAGCTCATCCTTATGAACATTCATCTTTTCGAACCAAATTTGCGCAGCTCCTCACTGCATACAAGATAATTTCCTTTCATCAATCAAAGCAACAGAACTAAACAAACAGCAAGCACTGATGAACTCGCAGCAGGGCTCATGCAGACAGAGAGTGAGGTTGTGTGTACTTTCCTGGATCCATATTTGCATGTGTCTGTCCATGTATCTTCTCATCCATATGTCTGTATGTTTGCATGTATGTGCTCCGAGGCTCCCCCTTCTTCTCTACCTGGGGCGAGTCTCGTCTTCACTCAGCTCCATTACCCGTGACAAATGCAATATATTTGTGTCAGACTGCTGCATGGTGAGAGCGGGCCAGATAAATGCGTTTAATTAAAAACTGTCATATGTACAGTTAGAGATGGTACAGTCAGAAGAGCATGAATAATCAATAACCACTCATACAGTAAACGGCACATTCACATGAATTAGGCAATGACATAGAGACACAAACACAAATGGTGATCACACATTCCTGTGAGACACACATACAAATGTTTTTTTTTTATACGATGATGGAGCTACGAGTGGAACGAGCTACTTTTCTTAGATGAGTGTGGGAGTTTGTGGTATGTGCGCCTGCCTCTCTGTAAAACATCTCTGTGTTCCCACCTGCAACAAGTACCTTTAATACTTTGTAAATGTATGTGGGGGACTAAGCAGATGCGCTGCACCTGGCTAGGATAACAGAACTGCTCACAGTGGAAGCGAAATGCAATCAAATATAGATATGGTTGGTCTACAGGATACTGCAAAAAGCTGAGTAAGAGCTGTTCATTCTATGGCCTTTCTAGGAAAAGGAAACACTTCAGCGTAGTCATCATGGCTGCAGAATGACTCAGTCATGCACATTTTACTTACAGATAGCGATGCGCCCTGCTCTCAGTCGACCTGATCTCTAATGATGAGTCATGAGAGCTTAGGCACTGTGCTACTGCTGGAAAAATTATGCAACAGTTTCAACTGCATGCACATGCGTAAATGGGCGTGTGTATTATAGAGAGGGAGTCAGGGACAGAAAGAGACAGACAGAGAGACAACCAAACAAACAGAGGACAAAGGGTCCTAGAGGTCAGGGATGAGCTAAGCCTTGGCAGTGCTGTGTGCGCATGCGCGTTTGCAGAATTGCGTGTATGCAAGTGGGTGCATTTTCAGTTGCTGATTTGAAGGTATAATCTGGACAGAGCTGGGAACAGATGTCACAGGGCTTCTCTATCTCCCAGCCCTGCACGCAGTGCCATGTGTAACCACAGAGCAAAGATTCTCCCCAAGACATCTAGATCCACAGGAATCTGCAAAAACAGCCCTAGACCCCTTGGTTTGCATCTAATGGGCTATCCATACCTCCATCATTTTCTGAAGCATTTCTGGAGTGATTAAGATGTCACATGTTGTTCTCACTGAACAGATATTTTTCTGTATCTACAGATGTATCAACGCACTCCAACTCTGAGACACATATTAATATGTGACCACTCCATTATTTTATGCCCCAAATCAATTTTCTTGCCAAGTATCATCATCAACTCCATTGCTTCTTTTATTGACAAATGTGACCCTGCACAATGTTCACCACACTTCAGGGTTAAGTAAAACTCCCACAATATGGATGACTTTGAAAGTGACTTTTCCTGCAAGCAAATTCATTACAGTTGTTGTGGGATTGATGGGCCTGGCATGGTCATGACTGCCAGACCATAAAACTCAGCGTCAGATATGAAGAGATGGAGAGCAGCAATGTGTGGCCCTGGCCCTGGCCCTGTTCACAGCCAGACAGTACACTCTGTCAGAGACACGAATCGTCTCTCCTTAAGAGAGAGATAACGGCGGCTTTGAGAACATGGCACCTAGCAGAGGGCTTGATAGCTCCACTCATTACTCTCTATTGGATACCGGCAACTCCATGTGCCTTCCAACTTTGACCTGTTTTTACCTTCAGCACATTCATCCTCGAAATGCAGAGGATGTGAGTCAGACAATTAGGAAAGAAAGCATGTATCAAGAAGTTTTCCATATTACTTACCCACAGCTGGTTTCAAGCAGACTGTCTCCAACCTGAAGGGAGGCCATGCCGAAGTCTGCTATCCTGATGTTGTTCTTTTCATCTAGCAACAGGTTCTCAGGCTTCAGATCCCTGTGGCTGAAAGATATAGAGACATAAACATAAAACAGTTAATGAAACATAAAAGAGCTCATTATAAGTTATATAAACTTGTAACACTGAAGAGAAACGAAAGGTGTGAAGCAAGATCTATTAAACACCTGTGGATCAAGCTTGGATCCACAACCATGCACGCAACTGTGAACAACACAGCATTTTATCCTGTTACTGAGAGCCCTCCTCGCTGCAACACCTCTCTCTTTGATCTGTCCATGTTGAAACTATAAGGCGCTCCCACCTCGGTGTGACAGCCCCCTGCTGTGTCCTTTTCTCCTTCTGTTTCCTTTGCCCCTCATCCCCTTCCTCTCATCTCCAGACAGCTACAAGCAAAGTGGCTGAGCAAAGGGCGTCAAAGGAGGTGTTCATTAGCTGCCATTCATTACCTCTAAACACAGCAAGGGAGTAATATCCAGCGGACATCGCCTCCCTCCTTAAAAGGGACCCACTGAGAGGAAGATCTTTCTTATATCATGTATGCTGTTGTTGTCAGAGTTTATAATTTTGATGCGAAAGCAGAGTTATCTACTAAGCATTAGCTTAGGGTTGTATTACATCATACTGTGATGTTCTTGTGATTTCTACCAAGGCTGAGCACCATAGATATCACTTCTAGCCATCTTTCTTATATATGTGTATACTTGTTTACCTCCCTGTATGCTTTTTGTAACCAGGGGGAGTGTTATAGAGCCACAGGGCTGTCGGGATGTCATGAGCTAGACTTTCATCTTCTCTTTAGGCTAATGATAGAAAGGGGAGAGGAACAATAGCTGGATGCGTCTGCCTTTGAAGAGTGCCTCATCACAATGGACATTTAACCTTCGATGACATCAGCTGCTGTACAACTCGTTTCCTGTCCTGAGGGATTAGCTGTCAGCTGGTTTGTCATCATGCTGGCAGTCTCTGTGATCACTGCTATAATTGAACTAAAACACAGATAGCATCTAAAACAGATCTCCCCAGGCTAAAACCTTTATTCAATTCACACTAGCATGATTTGGCAGTGATGTCAGGAGCCTGAGAGTTAGTCTTTTCAAACTGTCAAACCACACAAGGAAGGAACTAATATTTATTCAGTGTTCAGTGTGAGACTGTGGTTGTACTGAGCATCTCTGAGGAATATGTGTACAAGTCTCCTTCTATTCCGCCACGTCAATATCATATAGGAAAGTGTTCTTCGTCATCATGCCTGATGGAATAACGCTTAAAAAGCAATGTTTCTCCCAGCAACAAAATGACAGCTAAAAGTTACAAATCACTTGTGACTGGAGTTTAAATATGACAGAAGGTCAAATTATAACTTTGTAGATACAGTGACCAGAAGACAGGGCCTGAAGGATCTTAAATAATTTGGTGTGTGACAAAGCCAACAGCAGTGACAAGCCTGATTGTGGCTAGTGTTCGAAAATTGTTTACTACTGACATCATGGAGATAACCTCTTGATTCTAACAGACCCCAATCAGAGCCAAACCATAGCCTCAACAGAGTCATAAATATCTACTCTTGAGCTGTCAGCCTCTTATGCAATACACTAATACATTACCTAAAAGACCCATAAACATGGCATAAACATTGCGTAATCACAAGCCTATCACATGTAAAACACAAAGAGCCAAACCTCAAGAGACCAGCCACAAAAGAAAGAAGGCAACTGTGTATTTATCCACCAACAGCATCAAAGGGACAAATTGAATCTGGATGCTTTACTGGTTGTCAGGACCCTGGCATCCATAATAGGACATTTAACTGCCTCTCTGACACATTAGGCTGCACTTTGCCACTGTAATCTTGCTCACACAGCAGGCCTTGCAGCAGGGATATCGCTGTGTTGTATTCATATGTCATACAGGAAGAGATGCTGTAAAACAAATTCAGCAGCTGCAATGAGCTTGAATGTAATTGTAGTGTTTCTTTCCAGAAATTTGTGCACCACTAGCTTACAGGCAAGCCTTTATTTCATATTTTGTCTTTTTTTCTTTCTTTTTTTTTTTTTTTTTACAAAATACTACTATAATACTAAATGCCAGGAGTGCATATTATTTTTCACAGTTGTGTAAATGAAAAAATACAAATGTCGGAGCTACTCTCGGTGAAAGAAAGCGACTATTTAAAGCCAACTATTGCCACCAATCATGTTAGCTTATATTGTTATCTACACAGTTCTACCTGGAGTTCACTACTAAGCATGCAATCACAATGCTGTTCATTGTAATTTGCTGGGCACATGTGTGTGCCTACTACACGCTGTCTGAGCAAGGTTTACACCCCAGTGGGGCTGTTATACATGATTGTTACAATTGAACACACCACGCTCTTAATTGCCTATGATCATTTGTACGTACCATGCTGATATGTTCTCTTTTACAGAAGGCTGTAATAGGTCTGTCCTCTTGGGGCTCACATCTCTATAATATCCCAGACATGTTTATGGTGATGAGCAGTTGTATAACTTAATTCTCCAGCCCCAGGAAAATATACTTTTCCCATTGTGACACATTTGACATATTCCATGTTTAATATTGCCTCTCGTTAAGCCTGTGTTATCGCACCAAGATATGTGGCACTAATTAGCTAAACCAGAACACTTGAAAATAACACTAATGGCTCCAATGAATCTTTTTGACATATTAACATTCCTGTAAAATAGCACACCTGTTTTGCATTTTCATGAAGTACTAAAGCAACCTGGTACCATTATTGTTAGCTGGAGTGGGGTTTTTAACCATCCTTGAGTTGATATGCACCCATTTAGCCTCCGGCACACCTCTATGTCATCCTCCACTTTCTATCTTTCCATTTTTCTCTCAAACTTTTTGGCTTCTGTTGACCCAATTAGAGAGAGCAAGCGCATTCACTAAAAATGCTTTAGGCTAATATTCTATCGCATTAGCAAAAGAGGACAGCATTCTGACTGCTGACTTAGATGTGCAAGGCACAATCATTCATTAGCCAATGGGGTTAATTGTGTATTAAAAGCAATGAGGGAAATTTACCCCCCTTTATTTTGCAGTCTAATGGAATTGTTCTGTTTTGCATTTTTGCTTAAAACAAGTGACTGAGGGATGTAGTAGTTAATTTATTTTTCGTCTTCAAAGTAACACAGTTAAAAATCCAATGTACCACATTTGTAACACAATTTGTTCAAGGTACAAATAAAAAAAAAAGGCCAGGTGGGTGCTTGTGGGTGCAAGGTACTCAAGTGTGGTCACGGTTGCACATAAAGGTTTCACTTCATCCCATTTACAAAGAAATCTTGTTACAGGACTATTGTCGGTAATGACCTACACATCCTTCACTACACTGTTAGCTAGACCAAAACAGCACCATGATAAAATTACACATAAAGTGCATTTATTTATTTTTTCTATTTACAACAGCTGTTTGTTTATTTAACAAGACAATCCAGTTAAACATTGTTAAATAACAAAAAATATACAAATATAGGCTATCTAGCTGATGCTAATTTGTAGCCCTCTGACAACTAGACCACTATTTTATGGTTCTGTCTTGTATAATCATTGTAATACCATATTACAAAACATGCAATGGTCACAAAAACCAGAATGAACTACCAATGTCAATTGCCCATGAGATAACAACACAGTATATAGTCTTCAACAAAGGTTTCATTTAATTGGGAATTGGAATTAATCCATTAAAGAACCTTTTCAGATGCAGACAGTTATTTCCTTAAGTGCCAAAGCTGAAGTTGTTTTCTCACATGATTATAATTTTGGTCACATATGATCTCACAACCTCATCATGATCTTCGTAGTTCACTTGGATAGCTACAGTACAATACTTTCTGCCTCTTTACGCTGGTGCCTTACACATTTCAGTAGTCTCATTTCATTTAATTTGCATTTAAACTGGATTAGAATTGAGAAGAAGGCACACAGCTATTTTCTGCACACAAGATTTGCCTCTCCAGTGCCTGGTTACAAGAGCATTCCTTGTGCCATCTGGGGCATTAATATCTATTCTTGTGGGGTTTTGAGCAACACTGGGGAAGTAATGCATTGCTGCATGTAATACAGTGACTTAAAAGTGGGATTACAATGCTGGCTAGATCTGTAATAAACAAACTATTTGGTTTGTTGTGCCAAATATGTGTGTGCAATGCAGCGTTTGCTCTTAATCCAGCGTAGTTTGACTGGGGAAGATAGGATGAGCAGCAGACCTTCAAGGCAGAATAAACAGACATGCTGTCAGAAAAGCATTGGAGTAAAGGAATGGCATAGATATTAAAAACCCATAGCAACATCAGGCATCTAATACTGACATCCATGGTGGTGCATCATTGCTCTTAAAGTAGCCCTTTGTACCAGTTCAAAATTACAACATTTACCACCTTTATTCTACACATAATCTTTATCATCTTAACAACCTGTTGTTTTTTTCTTCTCTTTGCTGCTACAATTATGTTACCTTCCATTTACTCCATTCATAACTTTCCTCATTCAACCAGCCTTCCCACCTTAGTATGCTGCCCCTTATAACCACCAGCCCATTAGCCCTAAATGAAGCACATAAACCAACCTCCTACTTTTGTTCTCACTCCTCCTGCTCCATTTTCCATACCCATCTTACCCATCCCATTTCTATTTCTCCATTCCACCTCCTCTCAGCATCAACTTCTCTCCTCTCACCCAGTTACACATCAGTGCTTCAACTGGCTTTGCAGGAGAAGAAAATAACAGAAAATTTTAAAAGACAAGGAGAGAAAAAAGATTTCCATTCTGTGTTGTTAGCAGCCATCAGCCATAATGATGATACGCTATAAGTACAGGCTTTCTGCAGGGAGGCAGACAGACAGTCATCTTGGGAAACTCTCCTAAAAATGTCAACAAACAGCCACAGTGGCTGCCATTGATAGAGGGATGGATGTACAGTAGATAGAGGATGACAAATGGGCTTACACAAACTGCATGCTGTAGAAAGATTATAATTAATGAAAAAAAAAACTTTAGAAACAGTAATC